AAAAAGGGACTATGTCTTGAAGGGGGATGTATGGAATGATTATTTCATTTGTAAAGAACTGGTAAATTGTTGGTCCCATTGTTCAATAGGTCATGGATGTACACCACTAGCACCATAGAATACAAATATTGGGGAAATGATTATAAGCAACAGAGTTAAGTAGACAAATGAGTTCCCAAACTCTCATTATTCCACAAGACAGCATGTACCTGGATAATCTATGTGCACCTTGTTCAAGTTCCCAGTAAAGGGCACCTCCTCAGCTAGCAGCTGGACTTGCTACCAGGAACATCCAAGAGAGACAGCAAACCCCATTACCACATTGCACTCCATACATATATGGAATATATGTATACTGTATATTTTAATTTTTAAGTTTTTAAATTTATTTTTGACAAAGAGAGCAAGCAAGTGTGGGGCAGAGAGAGAGGGATAGAGAGAGAATCCCAAGCAGGCTCCATGCTGTCAGCAGTGTGGAGCTCAACACTGAGCTGATCTCACAAACCATGAGATCATGCATGACCTGAGCCAAAACCAAGAGTCGGCCACTTAACCAACTGAGCCACTCTACTGTCTATTTTAGACTATTTTAGACTAATGTATATATTAGTCGAAAATGGGACAGAGCACACCAAGGGCATACATAGTTTCTCCAAGTACTGAGGTCTGAACAGTCATGATCCTGGGTACCACTTTGCTGCTATGAATGCTAACATTGGCAAAATATCTTTGCTTCAGTACAAACTGACTCAATCTCTGTTAAGCCACTAAATGGAGGAAGGAAATGAGTTTCTAGAGCATCCAAACTTGATTTTCATCAAATTTATTTTCCTCTATGGATACGGTGTGTTTATTCTTAATGCATTCACTTGAGAAATTAAAATGGAAACTATCCTGAAATGGAAACTAGCTTATGTTTGCACCAGAGTTGTTTTATTTAGTACTTGTGACTCAAGATTTTTTTGTTCGTTTTTCTGTTTTGTTTTTATTTTGATCTTATTTTCTCCTTTTGTGATCTAAGAGAATTTTCCAACAATGAAAGCCTTCTATTTTTTTTTTTTTTTTTTTTTTACTTATCTCTTTTCTTATGAATTCTGATTGATACCAGCTAATGTGGGGCACCTGGGTGGCCTAGTTGGTTGAGCGACCAACTCTTGATTTTGGCTCAGGTCATGATCCCAAGGTTGTGGGACTGAACTCTGCGTCCAGCCCCATGTGGAGCTCTGCGCTAAGCATGGAGCCTTTTTACGATTCTCTCTCTCCCCCTCTGCCCCTCTCCCCTGCACATTCTCTCCCTCTCTAAAATTACAAATAACAAATGAATCCAACTAATATTTGCCTCTTCCTTTTAATGTCTTGATATGAGCAGCCATTATTCGCCAAGACACTCTTGGGTTTCCAGTATTTGAGCTACAGACTCAGTAGGTATTTGGACTGTATGGAAACAGATTATGGTAGGGGTGCCTGGGTGGCTCAGTCGGTTAAGCGTCCGACTTCGGCTCAGGTCATGATCTCACAGTTCATGGGTTCAAGCATCGGGCTCTGTGCTGACAGCGCAGAGCCTGCAGCCCTGCTTCTGTGTCTCCCTTTCTCTCTGACTCTCCCCTGCTCATGCTGTCTCTCTCAGAAATAAAATAAAAACTTTAAAATTTTTTAAATTAAAATAAACAGATTATGATAATATAACAAATGATCTGTCACTATAGAACAAGACTTTGTTTTCATTCTATTTGTTACATGATAGAGATAACTAAACTAAGGACAAATATTTCAAAGATTTGTTTGCTTACTTGGTGTTTTGTTTTGTTTTGTTTTGTTTTTGATAATGGCAGTCTATATCAGAGCTCCACCCTAAAACATGCTAAGTAGGCCCATTAAAAACAGGAGCATGCTTGCTGAGGTGAGAGTAATCCGGGAGTTCAACAAAGGCTGATCTGGTTACTGTTGTCATTGTTGAGTGTAACATCTGCCCACAACAAAAGCCAGTCATCTAAAGGTGGAACGATTATATTCCATTTCTTAGATTATGACAAAGGCAGTGCTTTCTCTGTCTTGGAATAAATGCTAACATTGGAAATGGATTTCCCTTCACTGCCCATAGTGCTTCACCCAGATTCATCATTCATGGAATAACTATACATCATGTTCATCATTAGACATACTCCTGATCATGGGCCCCTTTTACAAGAAAAGAGTGATGAGGAAATGGTCTCACAGCTTGTGGTATTTTTAACCTTGACCATATATATTTAGCCCAGTTGTACATAGAACTGTGAAATGGCCTACTGAAGACACAACAATCCACTAGTTGGAAGAATGTTTTGATGCAATGGATGCTGTGAACTAAAGAACAAAATAGTGTATATTTCTTAGGCTAGGAAGCAAGAAGGAGCAGTAAAGGGAACAGGGATATCCTCCTCTCAAATTTAATAAATTTCAGAAATAGAGATAAATAACCACTTGAGAAACATATGGAGTAAGTTGCAATAACCCATTAAGATAAAGAAGTTGTCCTAAGCCACATATTACTAATAATATATAAAGTACAGATATTATATAATACATATATTTGATAATACTTATAGATCTTAAATATGTATATTTCTATGTATTATATATATATTCCCAAATAGCCATCTCCGGAGATTGTTACAATGTTATAAGAATTCTTTTAAAAATATTTCTATTAAATACTTAGTATTATTTATCCATGTTAGTATGCATAATTATTTAATGCAAAAATACTTTATATTATAATATGATAAATCTCAAACAAATATTGTTTTACACTGATGTTTTGATATTTCTCTCAACCTTTAATATTATGATGAATATTGCTTATCGCAGTTACCATGAAGGATTTTTATTGATTTTTGACTATACTTGAAGAAAGAATGGAAGGTAATACCATGGAGAACATTTATGTGTAGGTATGAAAAAAATACTAGTTAAATTGGTATCGAGGAGGTGTGTAAAGTAGAAAAATAATACCTTCTTGCTTAAAATGCTTCAGTAGTATTTTGTGATGTGAATAGGGTAATATTCAAATTCACATGTCAGAAGTATCATTTCTGACTTCATCCTTTGGCTGTGTTAAGTCCAGGTCTCACCATTTCCTATTATGCCTGATGCTCCCTGCTCCTCAGGGATACTAACCTGTTTATGTAAGATCTGTCACTTTGCAGTTCTTGTCCAGATAATGCTTCTGAACTGCCTGGTCATCTGTGCTTTACCTAAATGTTTAGGTAAATACGTTATAGCAATGAAATCCTCTTATCTGCTACATTATTTTGAAGAATTTGGGGCACTCCAATGTGAAAGGGCAGATAATTGTACTGATGAGATCAAGGGTTACAAAGACTAAAAAACAGAGGAGAAACTGTGATATCTGAGTGATTCATAACGCCTGTCTTCAGAGAGCAGAATTTCCATTTACCTCAAACAAACCTTTTCTAAAAGACACATTTATTTATTTATTTATTCACTTATTCATTTATTTATTTATTTAGTGTGAGCATGAAGGAAGGGTGCAGAAGAAGAGGGAGAGAGAGAACCATAAGCAGGCTCCACAATGTCAGTGAGGAGCCTGACATGGGGCTTGATATCACAAACCCTGAGATCATGACCTGAAATCAAGAGTTAAACACTTAACTGACTGAGTCACCCAGGTTCCCCAAAACTGAAGCTTTAAGACAGCTCCAACCTTGGTTAAGGGTAGAAAAGCTTTGGGTCAATAACAGTTTCCAGGAAGAAACCAAAAAGTTTTGGTCAACTTAGCATGGACTTTTACATGTCTAATGACAGCCAAAAAATATAAACAATATGTGGTTCTACAAATATAACTTGAGACTTTATTTTAATATTTGCAACTGTAAAGCATACAAAAATGAAAACAAAGGGGGTATCACCTTTACTTTTCTCAATTGTCTTTCTCTATTAAAAATAGAGGCTTTGGGGTGGCTGGGTGGCTCAGTTGGTTAAGTGTCCGACTTCAGCTCAGGTCATGATCTCACAGCTTGTGGGTTCAAACCCCTCAATGGGCTCCGTGCTAACACCTCAGAGCCTAGAGCCGACTTCAGATTTGGTGTCTTCCTCTCTCTCTGCCCCTCCTCTGTTCATTCTATGTGTCTCTCTGTTTCAAAAATAAATAAACATTAAAAAATTAAAAATTGAAGATAATTTATTGATAATCAAAATATTTTTTTAATTTTTTTAATGTTTTTATTTATTTCTAGGAGAGAGAGAGACAGTGTGAACAGGGAGGGTCAGAGAGAGAGGGAGTCACAGACTCTGAAACAGGCTCCAGGCTCTGGGCTGGCAGTCAGCACAGAGCCCGACGCGGGGCTCGAACCCACGAACCGTGAGATCATGACCTAAGCGAAAGTCGGACGCTTAACCGACTAAGCCACCCAGGCGCCCCGTGATAATCAAAATATTTTTTATGTATGCAATTTGTTAGTGTCTTAGCTTGGCATTCTCTTAGCAATGATATCTTGGGTATGTCACCAAAGCACAGGCAACAAAAGCAAAATCAGACAAGCAGGACTATATCAGACTAAAAATATTATGCATAGCAAAGGAAATAAGAGCATTAAAAAAACAACCAACTAAACAGGAGAAAGTATTTGCAAACCATATACAGGAGTCCTCCCCTTCTCTACAAGGGTTTTTCCCAAGATCTCCAGTGGATTCCTCAAACCTTGGGTAGTACCAAATCCTACACATTAAGGTTTAACTATAGTAAACCTTAAAATATAAAGTAGGCACAGTAAGAAATTCAGGACAATAGCTAATAAAATAAAACAATCATAAGAATATACTATTAAAATGTATATGAATGTGATTTTTCCCTTTCTTCAAGATACCTCATTGTACTTCACTCACCCTTCTTCCTGTGAGAGGAAGACAAGGTGCCTATGTGATGAAATGAAGTGAAGTGAGTGCTGTAGGCACTGTGACATGGTGGTGCTAGGCTACCATTGACCTGACAATTGGTCACAAGTAAGGTCATCTGCTTCCAGCCTGAAGCTGGTTACAGGTAATGAAACTGCAGAAAGCAAAACCACAAATAAGAATGGACTACTGTGTCTGTTAAAGTGTTATCCAAAATATCTAAGGAATTCCTGCAACTCAACAACAAAAACCCTTATGTCCTAACTTTGAAAAGAGTTATTCCTTTCCTCTGGCTATATTCTCTCCCTGGTCTTCCCTAACACTGTTTATGCTCCTGATTCCCCTCCTACTACTCTGGTGACATCCTCACCATCCTATTTATAAGCTTCTTTTCTAATAAGGCTTCAGATAATGTAATTCCACTATTTGGCACCAATTGTGTTCCTTTCCTTCCCCCCATATTCATTCCTGAGTGTGACAAATAAATCATGAGGATTTTTTTTTCCTGTAGACTTGTTTTCATCTCCATGAACATAGCTGTTACACAATATAGATTTCAACCCTTACTTGAAACCATCGAGGCTCTGTGAGTATCCAAACTGTGTAGCTTTCAGATATTAGATAGACCTATACTGGGTATTATGGAAATCATAACTGGCTCATGGGACAACCCAAAATTATAAACATTTACATTAAGTAAATGAGCTTAATTTTTAAAAATATTTTAAGGCTTATATCCATTTAGATCATTTTTTTTTAATTTTTTTTTATTTTTTTATTTTTTTAATTTTTTTTTTAATGTTTTATTTATTTCTAGGAGAGAGAGAGACAGCATGAGCAGGGGAGGGTCAGAGAGAGAGGGAGTCACAGACTGAAACAGGCTCCAGGCTCTGAGCTGGCAGTCAGCACAGAGCCCGACGCGGGGCTCGAACCCACAAACCGCGAGATCATGACCTAAGCGAAAGTCGGACACTTAACCGACTAAGCCACCCAGGCGCCCCATCCATTTAGATCATTTTATTGCTAATTGAGCTGCTACAAATCTATGAGAGGAAATCATTTGATTTTCAAGGTTAAATTTCAAATACTGAAATAAGGGAATGTGGACACATAGCTCTCCTTGGATATTCCCCTTCCCCCAAAAACCAAACCACCACCACCACCATCAACAACAAAACCCAAATGAAGAATTTCCAAAGACAAATTCATGATTCTCCCTCTCCAAGTTTATCTTCTTTCTCCACCTCAGTTACCAGAACTATTAAACATTTATTTAGGCAATCCATATACCAAACTAAATTCAAATTTTCTTTCTCTGTCACCTTCCATGTCTACTTGAGTAGTATCCAGTGTTATTTTAAACACATCTTCAGACTTGGGGTACACACACACTCACCACATATTCACGCTCATACACTGTCCATTTCTTTCAGTTTCATCCCATCCTTACTGTCACCATTTCCAATATTCAAATCCATATCACTGTCCAACTGATACATAACAAAAACCTTCAAACTTATCTTCTGTTATCCACTTTTTATCTCTTCCAAGCAATTCCTCACCTTCAAAGACCTGGTGGTCATATACATGCCAAAACATTCACACATGATGATATGATATCCCATGCTCTTTCCTCTACCTGGAATCAATCCTCCCACCCTTATTAATATCTACTTAAAAATAGGATATACTACATCCACAGGGTACTACAAAGTTGTTCTGAAGTTTGATTATTTGGGTTTAAATCCATGATCTGAACAAATTAGTTACGTGATATTTAACTTTATTCTCTCAGCACTTCACACTTATGAGTCCATATTTTTGTTTCATTTAATAAAATAAAATATGGTTTTATATTAATCTCTACCACTGAACTGCAAACTTCAAGAAAACAAATACTATTAAATTTAACTAATTATTATATTCATAACAAATTATCTCACATATAGAAGGTATTTTTAAATGTACAAATAATGGATAATGTGAAATGAGTTTTAAAAATAATTAAATAAGTTATTTTACTTGAAACAGATTCTTGATCCCAGCTATTTATATTGGTAATTTCAGGCATGTTAAGCAATAAAGCTGAAATCCTCTATATAACATGATTTGAGTTTTTTAAATGTGTGGAATGTGATGGGATGCATTTTCAATGCTATTTTTTTTAATTGTCAGTTATGAGTTGCTCCTATAAGAAAAGAAAAAAATATATTTCCAAAATTTTATTCCTTGAATGAAGTTTAATTGAAAGCCATAACATTATAGGGTTTCTGTTTAGTCCAATATTCCTTTTAAATGCCAGACTGCCAGGCTCCCTTCCTGAAGAAGTTCGAGGCCTATAATAGAATAAAAATATTTATGTATATTTTGAAATTGTTTAAAATATAATTTTACATAAATGGTAGGAATTAATTTGGGGAATCAAAAATTGTTTATAATGAAATTGCAAATTATATTATTATATTGAATACATTTTGCTTTTGGTCTATAATAGGAAAGATACAGTTTGCTGTACATCACAAAGTCAAAAAAAAATCAATATAAATTAAGTTGAAGCTGGAGAGGATAGCTCTGTTCAAAATCAGTGTTGATTTAAAAATCAATGTAAGTTTAAACAAACATTTTTTGTTTTATTGATATAACATGCACAGCAGTAGGACAGGCTAAAGAATTAAAAAAAAAAAAAAGGAAACCTTGAATACCTATGTGTGCTACCACCCAATGTGTCTGCAAATAGATGAAAAGATGTGAACATAAAGGTTCAATCTGACTACCAATCAAGAAATTCAAACATGCTTGGCAATAAAGATTCTTGTAAACCTATATTCATTCTAGCAGATATTAATTTGAAATGTTTTTCTATTCCATAAAGTAATACCATTACACTGAAGATTCCATTGCTCATTGTATAAAGTTATTTTATTGTTGTTTGTCATATGCATCCTCAGCCAAATCAGCCTTTATAAGTCGGAAAAAGGAAAGTTGTTCTCTGATTATTATATAAATTTATCTGCATTTTCTGGAAGTAACATTGTTTGCTTACAGGTGTTTTTAAGCAATTACTATTGGTTCCAAGACAACATTTAAAGCAAACATTCTTCACAAATTAAGAATATATGAGTATATACACGTTATATCTTCTATTATAACTCACTTCCTATTGATAGTTTGGTTTTTAAAGCCCCAGGAGTATTTCTAATGAAAAAAAGAAAGGTGTTTCTAACTATAGCTGTGCTTCTCTACTTTCAAAATCTAGTAATATTTTGTTGTTGTAATATGGCTGTATGTGTGTTTGTGTGTTTCTTCACATAGACATGAAGAATAACAAAGCAATTAAAGATAGCTCAAATTTTCCGCCCTCTATTGCAGGAGGTCACTTTAAGTTTCCTGTATACTGGTCAAAAACTCTGAGGTTTCTGAGACTTTACCCTACTTGCAAATAAATATGTTAGGTTGTGCAAACTACACATTAGTGCAAATTAATATGTTTTTCATTTAGGAAAAACAAACCTGTGTGCCTTCTCAGCACTCAGTACTGCTACATCACTGCTTCACTCCTGAACTTCTGGTCACCAAATGTGCCAGTTTTCCCTTACCGAGCAACTCTTGATACCAGCTGATTCCTACAATTCAATTCAATTCTGACACTATCTGGAGTTAGTGTCAGACCCCACAGATTAAGGGCCCAGTCACACAAGACTGCCCCCTCCCTCCATTTCAGATGCCAAAAATAAGTATAGATTGTGACCCGTGCTTCTGACTTATTGGCTATAAATCAGTGTCCTATCACCATCTCCTTGGGTTAGATTAGTGGACTAGGGCAGCTCACAGAATTCAGGAAAACAGTTCATTTAGTAGATTACTGGTTATTATAAAAGGATATAACTCAGGAACAGCTAGATGGAAGAGGTGCAGACAGCAGAATGCGGGGGAACTGGGATGGAGCTTCCATACTGTCAGAGACTCTCATGGAGCATCAACACATGCTTACCACCCCAGAAGCTCTCCAAACCACATCCTTCTGGTTTTCTATGGAAGCTTCATTAGACAGGCATGATTGATCAAGTCATTGACCATTGGTGACTGATTGAACCTCCATCTCCACTCCCAATCTTCTAATCATGTGGTCGGTTCCCCTGGCAACCAGCCCACGCTTAAGGGCTTCTAGAAGTCACCGTAGTAACAGAAACTCAGATGTGGTTGAAAGGACTAAAGACGCCTTCATGGTTTTTGTCACTTAAGAAATTTCAAGGGTTTTAGGAGATGTGTGCTGGAAGTGGGGATGGAGACCAACATATATTTCTTACTATAAATCACAGTATTCGAAATGCCACTTTTCGTAGATACCTGCAGGTAACATAGGATTCCTGGGTCAGACGCAAGGAACTGGATTAACTGTAGGCAGCATGAACCTCCTGTTCACAGTGGATCTACATCCCATGGGAATGGTGCAGCTTGGATGAGGAGAATGCAAGCCCGTGGATATAAGATATAGTTTGAGCATTAAAAAACCCTGATACTTAATGATCTGCATTAATCTGCAAGAGAGAATTAAGGAAAAAATTGCCAGAGATCTAGAAGTAAGCCTCAGTGGTGTTGTGGCATAAAAACCAAGGAGAGAGTATTTGGTTCTGTTGAAGTGTCTCATAAGATGAGTTGTTTAGAAATGACTGAACATAGCATGAAGAAGTGTACTGGTAGAATTTTTCTTGGAGTGATGAGAATACAGACTATGTTAGGATATATTGTTTGTAAATGGGATGTGGAAAGATATAATAACATGATTTTTATGAAGTTTTTATTTTAAAAAAGCAGAGAGCACAGTATATGCTTAGCATGTTTTAAATAAGCCAGTTGACAGAGTGAAGTCAATTATATGAGAGAGAAATGGACTATAGATGTGCTGAGAAAAAGTAAAAGATGCAATGCACAGAAATTTCTAGTGAAATTCAAGGTCTTTCAAAATAGGATTCTCATACCATCTGGAAGCAGAAATGTGTGAATTAATAGTTTTGGACATAGTGCAAATATAGTTGGTAATAAGGCCCCAAAATCATGACTTGGGTAAATGGAAAAATAATTTATTAGAGATGAGAACAAGGAATTGAGGGTGTAGAAAATTGAGAGGATCATGTACCCACACGTTAAAATTACTCAAGATTGTGACAGGATGTGAAATGGAAAAGAAGACTGTTACCTAAGTGTCAAGTTTGTTAATAAATGAGCTGCAGCAAACTGCATTTTACTAGATGATGGAAATGAGATCAAGGGAAAGGATGGTATATTGAAATGGCATGAGTCAATAATTGGTAATTTTTTATCGTGTAATACATGTCTGCTCTTGTAAGTATATATTCATGTAAACCCTCAGTATACATCAGAGTTGACTTATAATATTGAATATCTTAACATATACTATATGTAATGGCAAACTTACCATTAATAGTGTCTTTATTAAGTGATAGTTTATAATTTCACATTCTAACAACATGGGAGCAAATATTTATCATAAAAGTATAAAACCCATTCATCAATAATTTTATAAATAATATTATCTTGTGTGGATATAAGCAATAGTTTTAAACA